TTATTTCTTTTGAAATTCAAGCAATTAGTTGAATCTCCTATGTAGGATGTGCATGAGGCATCCTTTTGTTAAGTTAAGTAATTTAGATATTAATCTTTCTGTTCCACCATAAATACTTAGTTAATTTATGGTTACAAGCATCTTCATCTATGGCACTGAATCATCACGTCTAGATATTTGATCCCATTTATAATATATTTAAATTTTCATACAATACATTGTTTGTTGAAATATTTTAGGAAAGCAATAGTTTAAAAGGGAATTATTTTTGACTCTTTTCTTAGTATATGAAAATTTGAGGGATTTAAATCAATTTCAAAGGCAGCAAGAGATTTTACTTATTTAATAAGAAATGTTTGAAATTATTTTAGAATGAAAGCATTTTTATCTGCTAAAATAAGAAAACCCTTTGAAATTAGTTTAGCTCTTTAGTTATTCGATTATTCGAAACTAATATTTTACTTTGATTAAAGGTTAATCTTGTTGTTATTATGAATACTTTTAGAAAATCATTTTAGTAGGTCAAGAGTAAACTCCATATTCTGGTGGATATATCTTTTGTATGTGAAATTTAAGGATACCTTACTTTACTACATGATCTTATATTTCTGATTTCAAATTATCATTATAATATTTGAAATCATTTATGATATTTTAAAAATAAATAGTTAGAACTTCTCAGATCCTAAACCGATGATCTATAAGACATTATCATTGCCTCAAAATATATGTAAGATTTAAAATTATATTAAAATAAAGCCCCTCATTATACTCTTAAATATGCCAAGAGCTAAATGAATGAAGTATAAATGCTACAGGAGAGTAGAATATGTTGCCATATTAAAAAAATAAACTAAAGTCTATTCTATGAGACTATAGTGAATTACTTTTATCTATTCCTCCAATACTCCATATATCAACTTCACTAGAAAATAAAATATTTTCGGGTTTTATATTATAATGACTATTTGCTTGCAATTAAATGTATAATTATTATTTTAACCTTCTTATTCTCTGTTCCTGTCGCTTTATTTGCTACTCATTAAATAATTAATATCCTACAACTAAATGTTAATAATATTAATATGGAGAAGTTTAATTAACTACTGTAACATAAAAAATTACGATGATATATGTTGCCGATGTAACTTCATTGCTCTTAAAACATATCCTGTTTATTATTCTAAGTTTGAAATTATTATTAGAGTAGGTATCATCTTTTCATTTTTAATTTTAGTGGTTAATTCACAATTCTAACTTATAAAGTGCTCATCACTAAATTGTAGGGTGCATCATTAAGTTTAATTGCTCTGCTAATAAATCAATATATACCCAACTTAATTGGAGATATTACAAAAGGATTTTGGATAGATTTTCTTGGCTTTAATTTTGATGGTTCAGTACTGAACTTCATAAAGAATTATTAAATATTAGATAATATGGTTATTTGAATGATGCTAAATTAAAGATAAAACACATTTACATTAACTTAAAATATTATCCTTAGTATAATCTATGATTAAATAATTAAATATTTAAGATTTAATTATTAATTACAACAGCTATTCTGCTTTGAATTAGAAATACAAAAACTGGGGTTTCGTACATTAAATAAACTTTGGAATCGGAATAAATCCTTTTTAATTATGAGATTGAAAATTAGCTAATAAGATGTCATTTATAGTCAATTATTTTACTGTTGTTGTTAATGATGATAGCGAAAGTGTATTGACTCTCTATTAAATTAAAGTTTAAAAACTAATGAAGTCAAAGCTATATCATTTGTCCTGATTACAATTAAATATCAGATTTTACTAGAATCAAATACTACAATCACTATCAGTGTAATCAGTAACATTAGATCCATAATTTTTACAAGTTCTTTTTACTTGCATTATTAGTAGAATTAACTGTACAAAGAGAGGAGACCAATTAGAACAATTATTATGCTTAAAAATAGTTACATTTTAACCATGATTAGTATGATTATAATCTATATATTTTTTATACATGTTCTTATAATTTCCTATACAGTTTAACCAGGATCTTCTGAACATCCAGCTACATATAAAAGTATCTAGGCAAGCGAATAATTAATCTGATATATTCTTATAACATTAATCATAATTTATTGCATCAGTTCAATTATTTGATTTATCTTCACAAATAGTTTGTCTATTTACTGTACATGAAATCATCCATGCATAACAAGAGGAGTGATCGAAATCTGTAATTCCTTGAGTTGTTGTACAAGTCATATTTATACAATTAGATCCATTCCAATAGCATTATAAATTTGAAGATGTATATGCACAATTTGCTGAATAATAATACCAAGAACATGATAATTATAATGTAATTCAGCCAGTAAGCACTAATATAATTACATATTGAATATTATGTAATACATTATTCACATTCAAGCAGATAACCAATTAGCACAATTTGTTAGAGTAAAACTAATAATACCTATTTTCATAATTAGGACATTCATTTATATTATCATAACTTGATGTTTCTGGTGAATATATACATTATCTGTCTAAACAAGAAGTTAAACATCATGAAAATTTATTTCCATTAAAAATCTATTCACAATTTGCATTATCTCTAAGATGTGTATGAATTGCAACTAGTTAATATAGTCATACATCTTCACTTGTAGTAACAACAGTACAAGTATATAAGAAATTATTACATTTTGTAAATGTATTGTAATCTGTATTTGTTAGTGCATTACTGCAAGTTCTATCAACACAAGCTCCAATCCAAGGTGAAGGTTCCCAGATGAATTTGTAAAAGTTACAGTACATTATTTGGGTGTTTTGATTTTGAACCACTTGATGGTTTTGGAATACAACCAGCTCCAACATTAAATAATAATTTTACAGAATTTGCTAATAATTTATAGTTTTTATATCAATAGTTTTTATAAATATAACCCTAGTCTAAAAAATAATAAAACCTGAGAGATAGAAATCATTTATTGTATGTGTATTGTCAGTATTTTCTTATTGGCACATACTCCATTATTTCATTAACAAATATTGTTATTAATATCATATCTACAACTATTTGAATTTTAATAAAGATTACAAGTAATTAATAGTGAACAACCATACCCAATTGTAGTACAATTATTTAAATATGTATTACAATCCTCATATGTTTTATTAAACTCTAAGTTATATAACATTCTTTCTTTCTACATATACTATTCGCAATCAATATTATAAGAGTTGGTAACACATTATTGTTGAATCTTAATTTCACTACACATTTGGCCTATTCATACATTTCTTAACTGTATATTTACTTAAGTATGCTTTACATTAAGCATCATTAAAAAAATAATTATTCCCTCAAGCATTTTCACAAATCTTATCAAAACAAAATCTACTCGAATTATAATTATTACCTAATGAATCTACTTAGCATTTCTCTTTCTAGAATATCACTCCACAAGTTATATCAATACATCCATCTAGAGCCTGCTTTATCGAATATAATTTAGAATAAGTTTAACATTATTCAGGTATATTATGAACATTTGGAGCATTGCTACATGTTTTCAATTTACATTAATTTGATACCAGAAACATTTTCTACCTTATTAATCTAATAAAAAAGTTTCTTTGATCATAATATTGGTACATTCTTAATTCTTAAAGCATTCACCACCATTTAATTTAGTGGTACTTATAGATTTATATTATTCACAATCATAATTTTCTTAATTTTAACAACCCCATCCACTCAATTAACATCCCCCTTAAGATGATAATGGGCAGTCTCTATTCACCATTGTACACTCTTCATCACTTTTTATTGTTTTTGGCGATGATCCTTAATTCACACTTTTTTAACAGTTCTCATCCCAATGACAATAGTTCCCTTCTGTCTCTTATCTACATAATATTGCTGTCTTATAATCTGAACGTTAGCCTACCTCTATACATTATGATATCTCTTAACACAATTCATTTGTGCTTTGTAAAAAACTCAACAAAATTAATAAAATACATAGATATAGAAGACAAAAAAGGGAGGGGAGCTTTGAAGTTGATGTCTACACTTATAAAATATTTGAATTTACAAAAGGTTTATAAAGAAGAAAAAAATATACAATTGAGGCACAATTGACTTAGTAATTTCTTAGGTTTCCCTTACTATGGTATTAAGGGATTTTTTAAATAATTATCCAGATTAAAGGGCAAGATTTGTACAGTAATAGAAGATTTCAATCAATGAGAAAAAATTGAAAGATGAAAGAAATATTCAATGAGCGATCCTTTTATTAAGAACATGATCCTATAAAGAAAATCAGAAATAACTTTAAAGATTATAAGGTATTTAATTAAGCAACAATATAGATGTTATTAGGTACTGACTATCCAGGTCAAATTGCATCCACACCATGCAATGGAGAAATTATAACCTTTTAATTGATTTAATAAGAATAATGGCTGAAAACTCTTTTTTTTATGGTTAAGCAATGGATTGAATTCCATTATTTCTTAAGTTCAAATCTCAAAAAAGATTAAAACATCTCTTGCTTTTATCTCATCTGCAATATCGCCAGGAATAAGACAAATAAATCATGCCATAGGATAGGATAATTGTAATTATATCTATATATATTTAGGATTACTTAAAAAGTTTAAATTTAGAGATCAATGCTAATAATCCAATCATTGTTAATTTAAATAAAGTTAGAAAATCTTATAGGATTATTGCATCATTAGCAAGTAAATAGATTTTAGATGCTTATCATCTGAATTTTTAAGAGATCCAAAGGAAATTGTAGAAAGACAACACAAAATTTAGAATGTGTTATTCACATCTAAATATAATTTATTATTAGTAGCATACTTTTTTTTTATGAAGAAATGGGGGGGGGGATTTAGAGAAGAGGTAGTTAAATAGAAAGATGACAGAAATTATTATTGATAGTGATTTTGATTCCTCTTTTATAATTTTTTTTATTTTTTTTATTTTTTTAGCATTCTAAATAACTTCATATGGAATTTTAGCTACATTTGTAGCAAACACTCCATTGATTAATTTATATTAATCACTCTATCCAATCCTTAATACTGTTTCATTACACTTTATTCAATGACAATGAGCAACAAATATTGTTTTAGGTTCAATCTTTTAAGATAAATAATTTAAAAGTGCAGATGCCAATTCTACTCTATCACCTGTTTAAGTACTTCTTCTTAACTCATCTATAATCACTAAACTTTAATAAGTGCAATGCTCTAATATAGTATTTGTTTTTCAAGTTATATGTTTTGAGATTATATGGAATACTATTGAAGTAAGAAAGATTATTAAATTAATAGACTGGAGTAGCATCAATTAAGTTTTGCAGTTAAAGATATCATCACATGAAATAGGGATATAAGCTAGAATTATGTTTAGGAAATGAAAACTTAATATTATCAAAATATCTTATTAGAGATGAAAAAAGTAAATTAGAATGCTATTTTATAGGCTCTCTAATATTTTGTCGTCAAGCACATTCAATTTAATAATAGCTATTTTCTTAGAAGTGTTATTATTTTATGACACAATTGATGAAGTCACATTTTATAATAATACCCAGTGAGATTTTTTTTAATTCAACTATAGATAGTGATACCAACCCGAAAATTATAATAATAATAAAATTTTATTTCAAATGTTTATATGTAATTTTCACTCTAAATTGATTTGTTTCCATTTCCCAATCTTCATACCTTGCATATTATATTCACCATTATAAGTGACTTATTTATTTGAAGAATATAAACTTCCATTAAACCTTTCATCTAATTCTATCCACTTTCCAATCTTTTTCTAATTTCCATCTTAACCATATGATCCACCACCACTATATCCTTTACTGAAATAATATTTACATTTATTTATATTCATTTTAAAATTGTCTGCAATACATACTATCCCACATACCAATCTTCATACCTTGCATATTATATTCACCATTATAAGTGA